GCACTCCTGGAGGCTGAGGCAGGAGGCTTACCTTGAGTTCAAGGCCAGTCTAGGATGCATAGTGACTTCAAGGCCAGCCTGAACTGCATAGCAAGAGCCTGTCCAAAAAAAATTTTTTAAAGTTTTACAGTGGCTAATAAGATTAAATATACGAGTGCATCTGAGATCATTAGTATGTGCCTTATCTCCTACAAAGACTGAACTGGACTCGCTAAGATCCTCTCACAGCTTTTTGTCGTAAGTCTAGCTGTTCTTTCCATGCTGCAGGTTGAGCGTCCCTTATCCAAAATACTTGTTGCCAGAGATGTTTCAGATCTCATAGTTTTTCAGAACTTTATTGATGAGCATCCTTGATGCAAAATTCCAAAATCTGAGATGCCTCAAAGGGAAAAATTTTTAGTGTTATTTTGGGACTCAAAAAGTTCTGGATTTTGGAGGATTGGGGATTTTTGGGTTGAGGGTGCTCAACCTGTACCTAAAATTTGATGACACCGATTCACTTAAAGGAGGAGTAAGAGTATTGAACTGGGAAAGGATTTATGCCAGACCAAGTCCTCCTCCTCCTAGGGTGCATTCCAGTTTTAGACAGGAATCACTAATGATTAATTACTAAGCAGATTCAAAGAAAAGAGTCTTTGGAAAAGTCTTTTTTGTTTTTTTTCTGGTACTGGGGATCGAACTCAGGACATTGCACTTGCCAGGCAGGCGCGGTGCCACTGAGCTACATCCCAGCCCGTGGAAAAATCTTAATGAAACAGGCCGGAGATGGTAGCACAAGTGAATCCCAGCACTGCAAGCCATCTTTGACCTTTTCCGAGCCATAGTAAAACAGCACCTCCATGTGGTTCGGCCCAGTACCCAGCATCTCTGCACCTGCCGGTTTTCTCACTGTAAAGGTAGCTCAGAGATTTAGCATTGCTGGGAAATGTTTAATGTGAAAACATGCTCTGGCGTGTGGCGATGCCGGTTTTCTCTCTGGGGTTCATCGCTTAGTGTGTGTTCAGTATATCTGTTCAGCACAGCTGGGTATTCTAATCAGGAAAACCAGGGGGAGAAAAGGTATTTCCAGTAAAACCTTTGCTCCATTCGTTGTATTGCCTGTAAATAATTCTAGCCGTAAGTACTGATCACTTTTTTTGAGGCAGGGTATGTATGTATCTGCTTATGTCGTCCAGGCTGGCTTTGGATTGTCTTGTCCCACCTCAGCCTCCTGCAGGAGAGTTCACGGGCATGTGCCCCCAAGGGCTGACTTTAACAGTGAACCCTCAGAGCATCCCGTGTCACGCGCTTCCCTCAGTGTCTTTCTCTCTCTAGAGGGCCTCCTCGCCCGAGACCCATAGTAGCACCTATTGGAGAGGCTGAGGACAAAGAGAATCAACAAGCGGCCAATGGTCCAAACCAGCCAGCTGCTCGCCGCGGCTACCGGCGTCCCTACAACTACCGGCGTCGTCCCCGCCCTCCTAACGCTCCTTCGCAAGATGGCAAAGAGGTGAAGCTCCAACCAGAAGGGATGTCGCCAGACCAGCTTTCATGACTGGAGTGTGTGTGTGTGTGTGTGTGTGTGTGTGTGTGTGTGTGTGTGTGTGATCGAGGATTGAACTCGGGCC